ATGCCAATTTGCCATTATACCCTAGATGCAAAGACTTTTCTAGATTATCATTCGTTATGAAATTGTTGAACAATAAACTGGTAACCAATAGTACTGACAAAGCCTTCAACATGAATCTGGACCTAGTTAAGAAAGCTTTACCTGTTGGTGAGACGCTTCCTTCTTCCTTCTATGAAGTTAAGCGGTACATGGAAGATCTTGGGTTCGGTTACACCACTATAGATGCCTGCCCAAATTATTGTGTACTCTATAGAGGTCCTCTAGAATCTGTCAAGTCATGTCCCAAATGCAATGAGTCTAGATACATACCTGGGAAACAAAATAATGTAGCCCAAAAGAAAGCTAGGTATTTGCCACTAAAAGATAGGCTTCAAAGGAGAGCCCTATTTCCCTCTTCTTTGTATCTGCCGAAAGGAGAACCCTAGTTCCCTCTTCTTCGAATCTGCCGAAAGTCACTACCTCTCCTATGGTGATTTCTCTCTGAACCTTCCCCGCGAAATTGAGACCAATTCATTGCTGTGTAGTGTATGCTCGTCGCTCTAGTTTGGGGAGCCATTTCACAGTTAGGGGCTGGTTTCAGAATCGTCATTCAGGTTTTTCGCACTATGCTTTATCCCATTTGTGGTGTTTGTAGTGTCGATGCTATGCTCTGTTTATGTTGATGACCTCCATTCTCCGATTTCTTCTCCTTTTGCGTCTATGGTTTGGTACCTCCATCATTCCTATGTGCCTCGTGTGAGTAGTTTGTCGATTAGGGTGTGGATTTCTAAGCGGCGTTGCCCCCCTTCCTCGTGTGTTGCCGCCTCTGCTAAGCCCAAGCTTTAATCGTGTGTTGCCGCCTCTGCTAAGCCTCGTGGTTTGGGTTTCTAACCAGCTTAACAAGGTTGCATGCAGAGTTGCCATTTTCGATTCCTCTGACTCTTTTTGGAACTTTTGGTTCTGATTTGCTCAGCTGATTTACGTTTATGTAACTGGAATATGACTTCTGGTTTTATCCTTCATTCTCATATATGGTGTACTTTTCCCTCGGTCTTGCTTTGTTGGTCTTTGCAATTAATCGATGTTAGCCTTCAATTGAGGTCAGCACCTAGTGTGTTAGAATTTTGACCATTAAAGCACGTTTCTGTTGTAGGTATGCCGCCACTGAAGAAGAAGAAGGCTGCTACTGACAAGGGAGTGTCGATCCCAGATTTTTACCGGGCGACAAGATTAGGGAGGGTGCGGCCCGAACCTGCTCGGTCCACCGAATCTGTAAGAGGGGGGATTGGACGTTGAACTGGAGCCTCAGTGAATGAGGATACTCAACGCACAGACACTATGAATCCAGACGAACCCAATCGCAACGATGATTCGGAGGCAGAAGCATCCAATCATGAGACCGGAGAAGGTAATAATCCAACTGGATTGGAAGGAGCCCCTGCGGCTAAAAAGAGGGGACTGACCAAAGGGTACGAGATAATGAAGAGAACCAGAACTGGAGGGAAGATAGATGGAATCTACGTAATGGAGAATGGGCAGTCATTCATAGGGCCAAATGAGAGCTTGTTGAAGACAGAGTTGGGCGTCGTAACACGCCTGATGGCCCCGATAAGGAAGTACTAATGATCCAAGTTGACTGAAGTAGACAAGCATCCGTTATTCAAGAAGCTAGAGGTAATTTCCGATAACTCCTAGTTTGGCATGAAGTAGGCTAATCTTGACATGTTTTTTATTTTGCTATTGTTTGTTTGTTTTTTTTCGTACTGTATTTCCTTTTATATATTGCCCAGTAGTTTGACTTCTGGGAGTGGGACGAGGCAACAAAGCTTGGTGGCAGCAAAGCTTGTTGTTACCTCATGGGCAAGTCTCCCCTGTTTTCTCCTTTGCGGTTTTGGAGTTTGTAACCCATTTACGTTGATGATTAGATCGTGAAATGCAAAGTTGGGGTTTATATTTTAATTGACTTGGGAAACTTCACTATCTGTTGGTAAATGAAGCATATAATTTTTTTCATGTAGGATGAATTTGACATAGACACGACAGGTGTAGATGCAAGGAAGATTATGGAGAAGAGAATGAAGAAGCAGTTCATTAATTACAAGTATGCGATGCACGCTCACTACCTTAAAGACCCTCAGACAGCCAGGACAGACCCTCCAGTGAACATGAACATAGAGGATTGGCACATGATGTGTGATCACTTTGAGAGTGAAAACTTTCTAGTAAGTAACTCCTTCTGTTTCATCATCAATTCTTTCATGTGTTACCTTGCCTTACAATAAATGGTTGCTAATGACTTGTATTTGTCATATGCAGAAGCGAAGCCAAATAAATAAAGCCAACAAGAGTAAGCAAGTGTATGCACACACTTCTGGTGCAAAATTGCTTGATCAAAGAATATATGAGTTGGTAAGTATTCTAGAATTCAAAGACTAATTTATACATTCATATTATTCGCCTCATTGGTTTAACTCTTCCTGATTGTTGAACTTTCCTTGCTTCGTGTAGGAGAAGAAAAAGAAGCAAAAGCAGCAGGAGGAGCATCCTACTCAAGAAGAGCGGGAAACTGATATGGAGGACGTTGATACCATAGAGGAGGAGCCAGTAGATGTGCTACTGTATGCGAAGAGGTATTAGTGGGCTGACGGTAGTTGGGTATCGGAGGAGCCGCAGAGAACTATGTGAGTTCATCCTTTTGTGCCTTGTTTCATTTTTGATTAGTTCATACCAAACCATGTGACATATATCATTACCCATTGTTGTTCAATGCCTAGTTGGAGATGCAGTCCATCTGGATAGAAGCAAAGGCAGAGGGGAAGCCTATATTAGGCCGTGACATTGTTGAGAAGGTCCTCAAGAAAAAGGTGAAGTATGGACCGAAGAAGAACCCAAGATCAGCAAAGGAGCTTCAACTCTAAGCAGGATTGGAGGAAACAAGGGTTGAAGTGGAAAGAAAAGCCAAGGAGTTTGCTGAGAAGATACAGTGTCAGGAGGAGCAGCTAAAAAGCCAGGCTGAGAAGATACAACTTCAGGAAGAAAAGTTACAGAACCATGAGGAGAGGTTTGATACTCAAGCAGAGGAGATGAACCAGATGAAAGCCGCCCAGGAAAAGCTAAATCATCAAGGGCTAGTGATTGCTCGCCAATTACCTCACAAATGAACTACTAAGTCCAAGATAACAACACTGCCTTAGTTTGCAGAGGCAGATGAGACTGCAGGCTAGGTGTTGGTGTTAGAAGTATGTTAGTTTATGCTTTTGTGAACAAAGTTATCATGGTTTGTGTTGTGGTGAACAAGGAGTTTCATGTGTTGTATGATCTTGGACAAATTTGAATGTTTGTTTATGGTGAACAAGGACGTACACTGTTATGGGAATGGAAATGGATGTAATATGTTAGATGTTTTCCAATATATGTCCATGATCAGTTTGCGGATAAAATTTCGCATTATGGAATTTGTGAAGCAGGTCAAATGTGACAACAATGGAAAGTTCTCATATTGTGACAAGTCCATGACCAGCTGTACTCGTCATAACATCCTGAATGACAAAATATACTCGTCACAATTATACGTTATGACAAATTGCGTTCGTCCTAATATACTGAAATGACAAAATATATTCGTCGTACAGGCATTTATGAAGAAGGATATTCGTCACAACATAATTTATGACAAAATAAATTAGTCACAACAATGTGATGCAAGAATATAAACCCAGTAAAATGCCTTCAATTTATGACAAAAGATGTTGACAAACTTTTCAGTTTGTCACATTATAAACATTTCCTGACAAACAAAGGATTTGTCATATTTGGCTTGTGACAAATTATGAACCTTCTTATGACAAATATTATTCGTCACAAAATACTGTTATGACAAACTATGATCGTCTAATATGACCAACAAATTTCTCAAAAGTACCAATTTATTACAAATATAATGACAAAATTTTTCGTCATATTATCTTTGTTTGTCACAATAGACTAAGCAGAACCTCATATATACCGGGATGATATGTGACAAATGTGTTTCAAAAATTTGTCACATTTGACCTATCCTGACGGCGATAAAATAACAAAACATGATGACAAACACATTTGTCATATTAGGTCAAATATGACAAAATGGGTATCTAATATGACAATATTGTCTCGTCATTATAGGCCGAATTTGTTGTAGCGATGGAAATGGAATTGGAAATAGAATTACAATTCCTTAGTTTTTTGTCTATCCAAACAGGCGGTACAGGAAAAATATCTTTTAGTCATGGGAAATCCTGTGTTTGAAAGTGTGTTTCCCGTGTTTAATAGTTTTATTCACGGAAAAATTACCGTAATATATACCTCTGTGTCTAATTGTAAAGGTCACGGTAAACTTGTACCGTGACTAGTTTAATCACGAAAAAAACCATGCCTAATATCAAAATTTCGAGCACATATCCTAGTAAAAACATACTTAAAGACGAGATGTGCTCCTTTTAGGACGGTATTAACCGTGATGAAATCAGTTCCTGTGAGTAGACATCTACAACTAGTCACGGTAACTTACTGTGATTAATTACAAACCAATAGTCACAGCATTTTCCTACGACTAATTACAAATTAATATGAATTTTCTCATTACTAATTGCCAAAAATTCTTGTGTTAAAAGTATTAAATCCTCAGTCACCAAGTATAAGCAAAATGATATTATTAACAATTGAAAGAGTGTCAAATCTTATAGTCAATATTTCTATAATGCTACAATCTACATCACAATAACTAACTGATAAATAAGCTAACTAATGATAACTTCTATGATATTAAAGTAAACATGAAGATAGTCTAGAGTTAATGTTTGAAATTTCATCCTTCTTCTTGCAAACAAAATCTTTGTGCCATGTACTCCATCCCAAGCAACCTGCACTGTTACATCTGCATGAACAAAGATAGAAAAAAGACTAATATTATGATTCGTATGATTTATTCTCCATCACTACAAGATGCATGAAATATGCATGGAAACTTATATATTGTCAAGCTAAAAGCTTGTTATTTAATGTCTGCTAAAATCAACCACAGGAGTCGCACAGATACTAGAGCTAACTTGCAATCATGGCTGACTGCAAATGTCACTTGGCAATAGTAGATATTCAAAACAGCAGGTTGTGTAATAGTTCAAGTGAAAGAAGAGTTAACAATACCTATTAGGCCGTTACAGTTCCAAAAGCAATAACTGGTAGGGCTGCTAAACGGGTTTGCGGTTATCGGTTTAACCGGTTAACCAGTAACAAAAAAAAAATGGTAAACGAAAGTGGATTCTTGGCTGACGGTATGCCAGGATCGGACACCGCCGGCTGATCGGTATTCCGACACCAAATGAGAAAGCAATTTTCAAGCGCGGATCTTCAGCCGCCAACGCCAAGCAAACAATTAACAAGGATTAGGATTTCCGAATAACGAAACGTCAGACATCGTAAAAAATCCCCAACGATCTAAGCCAGCCTATTTCCATCCCCTGACCCTGAGACCCTGACTGCTGCACGACCATGATTCCACGACCGTCGATCCCTCCTCCTCTGTTCATCATCGTTGGCTCGTTTCTCTGTTTCCGTCGAAGCCAGTCGTCGCCGTCGAACCCCGTCGTCTCCGTCGCTAGATCAAGCTCCACCCAAAGGGCCAAGAGACGGGAACAGGACTCAGCAGACAGCTGTGTGCTCTGCTCCATTGAAATCTCAACCTCTTGAAGAAGCAGCGCGGGAGTGTGGGTGTTGTGAGATGAACTTCACCCAAATTTGGGACAATCAATTGCTGGGTTCGGCCGGACTGTGAGGGGAAACAAAGTTGTAGAGAAGAAATTTCAGAAACGAAGTCCCTAAAACGAACTGAGACTCAGAAGTCAATATTCAATAAGTCAAATTTTGAAAGAGAACACTAATTCGAGGACAAATTGATAGAATTAAAGATATGGGGGTAAAATGATGATAATTAGGCCACCGTAACTTTAAGGCCTTGAGTCTAGCAATGAGAAGGAGGTGGCGGAATGTGGTAGTGAATCTGGCCGGCTAAGGAAACAAGGTTTGTTTCCATTAGATGAACAAACAAAAGGAGAACTACAAGGACAGAGACGGAGAGAAAGTTTTGGCAGGAGTGGGCGGTGGAGCAGACAGTACAAAAATGGGAAAAGAATTGGGTTTCGTTATTTTCCTTTAAATCCACTTTTCTCTAGCCACTAGTATCGTGTGTGTATTAATGTTTTAATTTTAGAGAGCCAAAAAAGTGGCGGGCCAAAGCAAAATTTTGGAGCCAAAAAGGGTTAGCCTCTTTTACAATATAATTGGGAGTGGGGTGGGTTTATTTGGTTGTTTGAGGGTTTTTGGAGTCAAACAAAAATTTTGTGCTAAAGGAAATTCTTCCTCCAAACATTTGGAAGGATTTTTTTTAAATGATAAATTGTCATATTTTTCCCGGTAATTAACCGTGATTAACAATTAATCACGGGAAATCAAATCTAAAAAACAAGTAAATGAGTTAACGTGATTAGAACTATACAATCAAATACGAAACTTTTTACCGTTACTGTTAGTATACTTTTGATCACCAGAAACATTACCGTGAATAAGTTCCCGTAACTAAAAACTAGTTTTCTTGTAGTAACTGTTAATTGTTTTCAAATTAATGGAATTGGATTGAGCTTAATCTAGAAATTATTTTTCAGTATCTTAGGTTCATAATTTAAGGAAGTAATATTAATATATATAAAACAGAAGTGACTTGCTCCTACTGCCACTCTAGAAAATGACCAAGTGTAACCACTTCCTAAAGCGTAGTATAGCGGGTTTGGGTTTTAATGTCAACTCGGGTCCTAGATGTGATGACTACTCAGCGAATTATTATTATTTAGTGGTGAAACTTTAGTGCAGGTTCAAATAAGCAAACAAGAAAGCAATTAAACGGTTGTTTTCAAGTCGAGAGAGGTCACCCGGATATGGTTCCCCCTAGACTGCAGTTAAGCCGGATTGCAATTGACCAAGTTCAGTTTTAATGATAGTTATACTGCGGGAGGTTCTTAATCAGTCTGAAGTCTCGACTAAAGGTCTCCAGTCCCTCTCAATCTGAGTCCCCAGCGGGCGACTAACCTCCACCCGAGTAAACAGATTGAGGCCCTGACGAACCAAACCTCCACTACCGAAGTAAATTCGGTACAAAATAGTGAATTGGCTCCTCGCCTAAAGTCGCCAATTCACTACCTTCAATTAAGGGTGCTCTATCAACCTAGGCAAATATTCTCTTTCTAGGCTAAAGCAGAAAAAACAGGAATTTGATCAGGATTCATGCCATTCAATCATTCAAACCTCAATTGAATTTAATCAATCATAGAATCTGTACTTGGGTTCATACAATCAGACCTAACATACAAATCTAGGGTTCTCCATACCCAGATGAATAAGAAAACTACTCCATAGAGAGAGAAGCAAAAGCAAGTTCAGACGCGGAAACCATACTATGAAGGATGGGTTTCTGCTCCTGGTCATCAATCGGCACTTCTCCAAGTGTAAGCCGAGCTCCAATGGTGATGAAGATCAAGCTAGGGCACTAGGGAACTCTGGTTCGTCGCTTTCTCTCTCTAGGTATTTCTCTATCTCTCTAAAACTCGGAACCCCTTCTCCTTTGGCTCAAATCTGCCTAAAAGGCCGACCCTGGGCAAAACACGGTCGAGGGCACGGCCGTGCTTTGGTTTTGCCCGCCCGTGCCCTTGCCATGTGTTAAAAACACGACCACATTTTGGGGAAAACACGGTCGTGCCTATAGTTGGACACGACCGTGTTTTGAGTCACTCCCACCCGTGTTTTGGGCCAGCGCAGGAAAATCTTGGATCAAGCCTCGGCAGTAAAAACACGGTCCAGGAACACGACCGTGCTTTGGTTTAGGCCAGCCCGTGTTTTGGCCTTAGCTCGACCGAATGACTTGCAAATGCCCCGAAACTCGTGCTTAGCCTTTCCTTCGACATCTGGGACCTGAAATATGACAAAGTAGCACAATCCGGCGTAAAATAGGCCAAAAATACATGACTACGCCCCCGCAAACGGATAAGAACTAGGGATGTAAACATGTACAATTACATCGTTACCAAATTCCCCCACACTTAACCGTTTGCTTGTCCCCAAGCAAACCAAGTCAGACACAAGGTAAGCTCAAAACGTTTCAATCAAGCAGGCTTTAGGGCATATCATATCGGCACAAAACACGTGAATCATACTGGCTTTTGATCATTAACACATGGACAACCTCAACGAAAACCTAGACAACCACCACAGATGACATTCGAATGCAGTAAAGTCGAGCAAAGGAAGAGTCTACCTTCTGTTCACCAACCAACATAGACTTGACTCAACCACTTATTAAAGACATTCACTTCATGCATAAAGCTCCAGAATTAAGACCGAGCAATCTAGGTCCTCACCATGAAGGCAGCCTCTAGCATCTAGAGTTCACATATGGGGTGTCACCACTAACTAATCCGGAGGTCTTAGACACAGGTTCAGATGACTGGCTAGGGTCTTGGACATGGGGAAAAGGCCTTTTAGGTGGTGGAAGTATTCATAGCACAAGGTTCCAAAATTCCAAACCCAACACCCTCACAGTCAATCAAACCACTCTTTCTTTCTGCCATTATGCATTACTCACATTCTTTAGAGCACAAGAGCGAAGGAGGTTCAGCAGAGAACATGGAGAAACCACTCTGTGGAACCTTCTAAAAGATGCTAAGGGGGATTTCCATTGTAGTCCGGAAGAAAGGATAACACACGGCTCAAAGGGCTGACTAGGGGGTATGACACATCAAGACAGTCAATTTGGTCGTGGGCTATTCCTACGCCTCCATCATCTTAGCTAATGACACTGTGAATGATGCAAATCATGGAAGAGGGAACTATCGCACAAGAAAGAAACGAGCAGGCTCAAGTCTCACATGTCTACCTATATGCTCTATCTCTCATTCTGATTCCCTGAACTAGATGCATAAATGAATGTCAAGAGCAAGTGATCAATCCAAGTCACAGTTGGTAAGCAAACAGTTGAAAAACAGAACCCTACACAGTTCTACTGCACATCTCAGTCATCATAATAAGCTGTCTTAGTCACACTCAAGTTGTCATGCATTAAGTCAAAAACCATTCAATTCACCAATCACATCCACAGTGCCAATACGATCAAACATCAAGCAAACAACAGTACTTGGAGCCCTCAAATCTCGAGATTTGGACAGCGGACTAGGCTCCAAGCACACATATATACGTTCCAATTAATACAAAGACCCCCCAGATTTAAATATGACAGTGTCCTCAATGGAGCAGAGGGAAGGGGAACGATGTTACCTTTAAATGAGATCAGGAACGGGGACTAGAAGGCAGACCAGTCAATAGTAGGGGACTGGAAGGGGAACCAGTCCAAGGGACAGAGCTAAAGTCAACAGAAGACACACATTGGGTGAAAGAACCGGAGTTCCAAGTGTACAATCCAAAATAAAAAACAAAACAAAACGAAACAACAAAAAAAAACATGGAGTCTCAGTCTGGAAAAGAAATGAAGTGCAGAACCAGCCACTCGCCACTAGAACGCATCGCCACCATCGCCGGTGGGTGGGGGGTACTCGTCCTCATACCCCGGTGATTGCACGAAGGGGTAGTGGACTGCGTTCGGGTCCAAGCCCAGGTACGACATGATGTAGTGTTGGCCGGACATAAGACGACAGCCGTGTCCCGCTCACGGTCGAGGTAGGTGTGAATGCTCTCCTGGACGGCCAGAATGCGCTCGTTCTGCTGAGGGATGGTTGCCAACTGGTCAGAAATGGGCACCACGGGAGCAGGAGATCTGGGAGCAGCGGAGGGGCTCGCAGGAGTCTGGGCACGACGAACAGTATGACGGGGAACCCGGCGTCCCCCAGCTGCGCTCGACTCTGGCTGGTCGCCCTATGCAGGTTCAGGTGGACGAGGGAGACCCACAATCCAATGCACACGCCCTTGTCGAGCAATCATATGCTAATGGCGGAGGACGGTTTCGCTGAATGGGGTCGGTGCTCGGACCATGGTCATCCCATGGGTGTCGACCCCGTAGTAGCGGGCTAAGGCGGTGATCACCGGGCCACGAACAAGGTGGCGATCCTGGTTGGCGGAGGCTTTGGTGAAAGTCCGGGCAAGCACAGAGCCCAGCTCAATGGTGTCTCAGAACGACCCATCGCATGCATGAAGAACAGTGTCCGGAGGGTGACCCGGTTGGACGAGCCTCGGCCGGGGGTGTAGGACTAGGTGAGCAAATGGTTGAGGATCCGCCACTCCGGACGGAGGAGATTGGCCCGTGTCTGGCTGGCAATGTATTGCTCATTCACATAGTTCGGCAGGCAGATGCGCTGGAAGTAGGCCTGGGAAAGTAGGCCTGGGAAGCAAAGTCGATGGGATCGGTCACCTCCACGACAGGGGTCGGTCGCTGGGGTGCGGGGAGTTGAGCCGAAGTGCAGAGGCCAACTCCCAGTAACTGATGGAGTGCTCCACCCGCCGAGCGTGAAATGAACCGCATCAGAATGGTCAGCTGACCCCCTCGAGGAGTGGTGGAAGGATGTGTAGAACTCGCAGACGAGCTCCTGGTAGGTCGGCTCCGCAAGGCATAGAAGGCGCCGCCAACCATAGGGGCGAACAACTGCCTCCATCTGCGGCCTGGCATGAAGTGCCTCGAACACCTCAAAGTCGAGATGCAGGTGCTCGGTGATATGGTGGGTACGGATGGTCCGCAGCAGATGGTGTTGTGTGATGCTCAACTGGTCGAGGTAGGCTTCCATGATCCTGCAAAGCACAAGGATATACAAATGGCACACAAGCGAACAGGATCAATGTTAGCCAAAAACCACACTGTGAGCCCTCATATCGAAAGATATGGACAGTGGACTAGGCTCCCGGTGAAACAAGCATACCAATCACACGAGAATCACACAAACAAACACACCGGGGACCCTCAAATCAAGCGATTTGGACAATGGACTAGGCCCCCGGTGGAACAAACACAAAATCCATACCAAATATTCACCAATCGATCTAGCATACATAAGCCACACAAGCACGCATACAATACCAACATGCAAATGGTAGACCGAAGAACTGAATTCCTAGGACAAAAATATAACAAGCAAAGAGCGCCATCGGCCTACCAAAACATTCGCAAATCATGCCACAATCCCGCATTCTTCACCTAACTCAAGGTATCGATTCTCCAATAATAAAATGGGAGGATATGAAAACAAACCTGGAGACGCAAGTAGATACCGCAAGGGAGGTGAAGAAAATTGAAGAAAACACCCAAGTCACCGGAAGACCCACCGGAGACTCGCCGGAGAACTCGCCGCCGGCAACCCAACCTCGTCCAAACAAGCCCAAACCTCTGGGGATTGTGCTCCTCGACGCCAGGAGCGTGGGGGCGGTCGCGGTTTGTGATTTGGAGGTCGGGAGAGGGAGTTATGGCCAAAAATAGGAGGAGAAGAGGATAAAACCAAAAATCCGCCGAGGGGGGGGGGTGTGGAAATTTGAAAAAATGAATCTGGGGAGAGAGAGGGGCTAAAAATCGATTTTTATAGGGGGGTTAAAACACGGGCGGGCTGGAACACGGCCTTGTTTTCCATGCTCCACGCCCGTGTTTTTACTGCCGAGGGCGTGCTCCCCCCCTTTGAAAACACGGGCAGGCTGGGTTCAAAACACGACCGTGTTTTTGAACCCCAGCGCCCGTGTTTTTATTGCCGAGATCATTTCTGGCCACTTTTGAAAACACGGGCGGGCACGAAAGAAAACACGACAGTGTTTTTCTCCCCTAGCGCCCGTGTTTTTACTACCAAGCCTACCTCTGCATTTTTTCAAATTTCAAATTTCAAAACACTAAAACTCATTCTTGCCCCGAATCTAAAAATTACCCAGTTACATATTAAAACGAACCGCCCGAGGCACGAAATACTTTCCAGACAGACTCAAAGACTCAAAAACCGACAAAAATGAAAAGGAAAAAGGGTAGATGAAACACCCTAACCAGGCCGGGTACTACTTTTACTAAAATGCCATTGACAAATAAAATACACAAATCTTAAATTGCAACTGGGAAAAATGTTCATAAATAAAATACTGAAAACCCACACTTTTACTAGCAAAGCCCTAACACATGGGCAAACTCAATAAATAAAATCTCAAAGTGATCTCCAGTCTATACTCATAATCATAAATGTAAATAACTAATAACCTCTAATGTTGCAGCTACCAAAACCTTGACTAAGCATCCTCCGTGACGCATATACTGCTCTCCTCTAGCTGGCGCCCTTGAACTCGCTGCTCACTAACTGCTCCTTTAGCTCCTCTAGCTCTTCAAACTGGTGAGTGAGATGGGGTCAGTCTACGCCCTTACGTTTTAATAATTCTAATTCTTGAGTACTGTACTTAAACACTTAACTTTGACTAGTGGAAGTTGTTTGAGGGAGTTGAAGTTACTCTCCTCTCGTAAAACTCAAATCTCGACTTAAATACTTGACTGACACTGGGATCCCTCACTAGCTAGTCCGGTTGCCAACTCATACGTATGAGAAGCCATCCAGGCTTTCCTTAAACTTAAACTTAGTTAGGGAAGTCGTAACGATTCATCCCCCTAACATCTTAAACTTATCGTGGTCGCTCTTCACCACGATTCTCAAGGGCATAACTGCTGCACATCTTAAAAGTCTCACAAGCATAACTATTGCTCTGTCTCAAAGATCTCAAGAGCATAACTGCTGCTCTATCTGAAAATCTCAAATGGCAACGGACTGGCGCTAGTGACTAAAAACACTTAAAACGACTTCACCTTCTTGAAGGTGAGTTACTTCTTAAAAAGACCTTGTTTCTTAAACTTTAACAATAACTTGCCCACAAAATTTCAAGGTAAATAATAATCATTCACTTCCAGTCATAAGTCAAACAAGGCACACATCATCAACCATAATCATAAGTAAGCACACAATTTCATATAAAACAGCTTCTTAAACATGCAAGGCAGATACTTGAAAAATACGTAAGGCGTAGAATTTACCCCCTTTACACTCACCTTATTGATCAGGTCGACAGGTCGACTTGGATTGCGCTAACCACCCTCCAACGAAGATCGCTTTACCATAGTCTTACTTTCAATTTGGAAAAATCCACGCGGCTCTAACCTTTATGCCTCCTGCTTGCTTAATCGCTCACGGCCCGTCTCCTGCTTGCTTAAGCAGGTGGCTAACGTAGTGCCCTCGTCCACCTGCACACCGATAATGGTCCTGCTAACTTAAATCACCTCCTTCTTTGGGTCAGACAGCCATGTAATGATGGCCATGCTTAAATCACCTCCTTGCTTAAGCTAGCACCTCTCGTAGTAGCGGGTGGAGGGTACCAAGAGGCTGGTGTGGTGTAGAGCTTCTTCTAAGCAAGCACCTCTGCTACCGCCTGAACTTAACAAGCAGGCTGGTCTAAATCTTCTTCTAACCAAGCACATGGCGGAGTGGAGATTTGAAGTAGACACGTCCATTTGCTGGCCCATTGGGATGGCATGTCCTGCATCCCTTGGCAGCGGCAGAGCGAGTAAGCTGCTCTCATAGTAGCCACCAAGATCCCGCCGCCTCGCAACCAAGGGCCCACGCTGACCTGCCTCCGCAAGCAAGCTGCTCTCATTGTAGGCGGCAGTGGGCCAAGCAAGAGCCCACGCCACCGCCTCCCGACCCGCTTCGCTTCCGTCACCGCTAGCCCAGCTTCCTTTCCTCTCGATCTCCATTAACCTTCCGTTGTATTTTTTTTTCCTTCTTTCTCGGCAGCCGCTAGAAACCACTCAGGGTTAGGTGATTTGTACAAAAAAAAATTAAGGAATAGGGTGAACGTGGACGGGGAATTGGATAGTAGGGTATTTTGGGAATTTCACAAATTACGGGTGAGTTTAATCCGCAACTCAACTAACGTCCGCAACTTATTCTATTTATACCGAAACTTGACACCGTTTGAACCGAGAGTTTGTATTTTTAATCCTCATCGATAATATGGTGGAACTTGACCCAAGGGTATAATAGTCATTTAAACTTTTGGGAAGAGCGGGGTGTAACATTTCCTCCACCCTTATAAAAATTTCGTCCCCGAAATTTTGACTGTGATAGACACCTTGCATTTGATAGTGCTTGCCTCGACTGAGATTTCACATTTCCCTCCTCCTTAAGAAAAATTTCGACCTCGAAATTTGTGCACCTCGACAACTTAAGGTCTCACTTGAGGGAATCCTTCTACTACCGAGATGTATACTTCCTTTACCTTGTACGACCTTGCGCTATGAACTCTTTCCTCCAATTCGTGTGGTTCTTCGCCAACTAATTACTCACCCATATTTCATAAATCTCTTGCTCAAGCTAGTTACTCGCTCAATGCGTCTATGGCGCTATGGCACTCTCCCTTCTTAAATGCCTCTGATGGTGTAATGGCATTCGTAGCTCTTGCCGTTCTCAACGATTTGTCTTGCGTCTCTACTTAGGATTCCTTAAGAACTTAAGGAAATAAATTATTAGCCAGCTATTCAGGTCGTGACTCGTCGTAACTTCAGCTCATAACAGGCCCAGACCTTGAACTTCGTCCTCTCTATCTTGACTGCTGACGACTCTCCTAGGTATAGAATGTCTGTAGAGAATGTTTAAATTGCATAATGATTGACTCTGATGCTAGTTCCTAGGTATCACTACTTCTCCTTTTATAGGCCTCGTTATTCTCCTCTTTGATAACTCCACTTGATACGCACACTTGATGCCTGATTCACCATATATGGTTCCTTTAGCATGAGAAAATCCCTTACACATCCCTATTGACGTTCTTAATACCCCTTTCAACCCAAAGGTTGTTAATGGCGGCTTAACCTCCATCTTGTTATATCGCAAAACTCTTTTAACATAACCTCATCTGTGGTTGACCACGTAGATAACCTAGGTCCTTGTAACTTCTGACTTTGAATCTCTTACTTTCTTCCAAGATTCTTTGTCTCTCCCTTTAGCCATCGACTGAATGGTCATCTCCTCGTTACTTGTTGCTTAGCGCCAAAACCTCATACTACTGCTTTTCCCTTCTGTAGGCATTAGAGACATCCTTTGCATTTCTCTCTAGCTTGCGATCAACCTTATGAATCATTTCAAGGATCATGATATTCCCAATGGCTTACTTGCTCACTCCTGGCGCCTAACTTAACACTTCCTTATAGTTGCTTGAATTTGATGTTCTCATAATATCCATTCTGCCACTCTTAGACCTTATCTGAAACACCCTCATAGGTGATCTTGGTTTCCCTCAGGGGTACCCCAGTAGGTTCCCTAAACTCATATCCCTACTACTACTTTACTCACGACCCTTCTTGAGGTTACTCTCTAGTTCTAGATGTCCCTTGTTCTCGATGTAGTCCTCTAGGTCCCTATTTTTTCTTCTCACTCGTGTACCACGATAGATAAAGTTCTCCCTTCGATTATTCCTAGCGATCATGATTCCACCTTAAAAATTGACTGAAATATCTCTATGGACTTCCTATGGATCGGTTGTTCTCTACTTGGTGATCAACCTAATGCTTTCTTGTTGTCTGCTGTACTCCTGCTTTGGCCCGTCTTAACTATCTTCCTTGACGCATACATCGCCAGGTTGATGCCAACCATTTTTTCTATAACTACCCACGGTGTTCTTCCTGCTTCTTTACTTTTACTACCAACAACCTACAACTCTTCTGTTGTTGCTTGTACTATATTTGGTCACCAACCTCTGTTGAGTATCTTCTCGTTGTTGTTTTAGGTCACAGCTTCCAATGGTGGCTTGCCCTTGGTAACCTTTAACATAACTCATTCCATGAATCTTTTGTTGATCGATCTTGTACATAAACTTAGTCTCTTAGTTAGGATTCTTAGTGGCTTAACTAAGCGTGCCTGTTTCATCCTTAACTAGTTGTCTCCTCTGGAGCCCTCCTACCATGTCGCGCCCACTCAGAGTGGGGTACCTTGGATAAGGTAACTTCTCTTTTTCCTCCTTCTCGGTAATGCTTTCCCTCATCGTACCTCTTTGTGCAGCTTCTTGACCTCGAGTCACCTGAGACTTGACCCATTGATTTCCTGAAATCTCCTCAAACTCCCTCTGGCCTTTTTGCTCTTCCTTGGTATTGTTCGCAAACTCTCTTCATTACGACCGTTTAGGCTCTTCCTCTAATTCTCCTATAGCTACTTTCGAGACTCTAGCTCTTATCCCCCTAGTTCCAACTTATCAGTGAGGCTCCTCCTTCCTTTACCCCTCATGTACCCTATGCGGCTAGGTGCTCCCTCCATTTAGGATAGGACAATTCCATAACAGATCATCGTGAACTCTTACATTCCCCTTTCAACGGTTCCAACGACCTCCAAACCTTTCATGATCTGGGTAGTTTGTAGAGTCTCTCATATCTCAATCCACCCTCTTCTAGCTCAACATTGTTCACTAGCACATGTTGTTTTTGACCCAAGCTCTTCCTCTACCTCGATCATCTTGACTCTTGTGTTGTTCCTTCCAAAAGCTTGATACCGGCCTAATTCCCCACGGTCATGTACCCTCTTCTGGATGACGTAGTTTATCTACAAGGGTTCCTTCATCGTCATATGTAAATGACCATGCCTCCTCTCCTCCTTGACCTGTTGACTTCTTGACGTCCTTTCAAACTCCTTATAACCTACTTATTTCCTCCTTCGCTTCCTTTATACTACCCTAGCATTTCTTAAAGTCTAAGCATTCCTCTACTCCTTGTCACTGTGTGGTAATGGCGTTGAGCCATCGACCACAAAAACTAGCTGAGGGACTTCTCGGGGTACCTCTTCGTTTCTTGCCTCGTTGCCCACTTTCCACTGCTTAGCACCAAAGACCCTAACATCATCCTAGTATCATAGCTACTGGCATCTGGTGATGGTTCCTCTTCCTTTGGAGATTCACGTTTCTCCCCTTTGTTTGTCTTAGCTTATTAGATCATCCACTTGTTTCCTAGTAGTAAAATCCTCGTACTACTCTCTCAACTCCTTCAAAATTCTTGAGGTATTCCCTTTCGATTGGAACCTTTTCTATTAGAACTTTAGTTATTTGCCTTAACGATTAGAGTAGACTGGAGATTCTCTATACTCTTAAAAGAAGACTCTTGACTCGTTTTCCTTTCTTTTAAAACAAAATCCTTCAAAACTGAGACCGATATTCCAGTATTCCTTGGAGACGAAGGAACAGAGGAAGAACCAGGCTCTGATACCAAAATGAAACACCCTAACCCGGCCGGGTACTACTTTTACTAAAATGCCATTGACAAATAAAATACTCAAATCTTAAATTGAAACTGGGAAAATTTTTCATAAATAAAATACTGAAACCCCACACTTTTACTAGCAAGGCCCTAACACATGGGCAAACTTAATACTTAAAATCTCAAAGTGATCTCAAGTCTGTACTCATAATCATAAATGTAAATAACTAATAATCTCTAATGTTGCTGCTACCAAAACCTTGACTAAGCATCCTCCGTGACGCTTATACTGCTCTCCTCTAGCTGGCGGCCCTTGAACTCGCTGCTCACTAACTGCTCCTTTAGCTCCTCTAGCTCTTCAAACTGGTGAGTGAGATGCGGTCAGTCTACGCACTTACGTTTTAATAATTCTAATTTTTGAGTACTTTACTTAAATACTTAACTTTGACTAGTGGAAGTTGTTTGTACTTCCGATCTTAAAATCGTAACTCTTAAACTTTGAGGGAGTTGAAGTTACTCTCCTCTCTTAAAACTCAAATCTCGACTTAAATACTTGACTGACACTGGGATCCCTCACTAGCTAGTCCGGTTGCCAACTCATACGTATGAGAAGCCATCCAGGCTTTCCTTAAACTTAAACTTAGTTAGGGAAGTCGTAACGATTCATCCCCCTAACATCTTAAACTTATCGTGGTGGCTCTTCACCACGATTCTCAAGGGCATAACTGCTGCCCATCTTAAAAGTCTCACGAGCATAACTGCTGCTCTGTCTCAAAGATCTCAAGAGCATAACTGCTGCTCTATCTGAAAATATCAAATGGCAACGGACTGGCGCTAGTGACTAAAAACACTTAAAACGACTTCACCTTCTTGAAGGTGAGTTACTTCATAAAAAGACCTTGTTTCTTAAACTTTAACAATAACTTACCCACAAAATTTTCAAGGTAAATAATAATCATTCACTTCCAGTCATAAGTCAAACAAGGCACATATCATCAACCATAATCATAAGCAAGCACACAATTTCATATAAAACGGCTTCTTAAACATGCAAGGCAGATACTTGAAAAATACGTAAGGCGTAGAAATTACCCCCTTTACACTCACCTTATTGATCAGGTTGACTTGGATTGCGCTAACGACCCTCCAACGAAGATCGCTTTACCATAATCTTACTTGCAATTTGGAAAAATCCACGCGGCTCTAACCTTTATGCCTCCTGCTTGCTTAAGCAGGTAGCTGACGTAGTGCCCTTGTCCACCTGCACACCGATAATGATCCTGCTACTCACGCCGTCTCCTGCTTGCTTAAGCAGGTAGCTCCAATGATGCCCGTGCAATGATGGTCTTCTTGCCCTCACTGAAATCACCTCCTTGCTTGAGTTGGGTCGGATAGCCGCGCAATATTGGCCGTGCTTAAACCACCTCCTTGCTTAAGCTAGCACCTCTCTTAGTAGAGGGATATAGGAAGCGACTGGAGAGTACAAACAGGCTGCTTGCTTTGCTGCCGTTTGAGCTTACAAGCAGGCTGATCTAAATCTTCTTCTAACCAAGCACCTGGCGGAGTGGAGAGTTGAAGCAGGCACGTCC